CTTCTCTACGGCGGCTACACCGGCTAGTACGATCAGATCGGCAACCGACACCTTCTTGGGTGCACTAGCATTGTTGAATTTCTGCTGAATACCCTCTAGAGCTGCGATAGCCTTGTCTAGTTGCAAGTGGCTGTTTATTGTCCAGCCACGCTGGGGAGCTAGTCTGATGCGGGCACCATTGGCACCACCACGCTTGTCACTGCCACGGAAGGTGGAAGCGGACGCCCAAGCTAGAGATACTAAATGGGATGTGTTTAGCTCGGCAGCTAGGATCTCCTTCTTTAGAGCTGCGATATCGTGCGCGTCGACGAGAGGGTGGTTTACGGCCGGAATGGGGTCCTGCCAGATCAGCTCCTCCTTGGGAACCTCTGGGCCCAAGTAGAGGACTGAGGGGCCCATATCACGGTGCAGTAGCTTGAACCAGGCGCGAGCAAAGGTATCAGCAAACTGGTCTGGGTTCTCCAAGAAGCGGCGCGAAATCTTCTCGTATGCGGGATCGAAGCGGAGCGACAAATCAGTTGTCAACATCTTAGGTAAGTGCTTCTGGGCGGGATCGTAGGCATCGGGAATGATGGCGTCGGCATTCTTGGCCACCCACTGATGCGCGCCGGCGGGACTCTTGGTGAGCTCCCACTCGAAACCAAATAGGTACTCGAAGAATTGGTTGCTCCATTTTGTGGGAGTCTTGGTCCAGATGACTTCTAGACCACTGGTGATGGTGTGGGGACCCTTTCCGGAACCGTGGGTGTTGCTCCAGCCCAGGCCCTGTTGCTCAAGAGGAGCAGCCTCGGGTTCGGTACCGACGTGTTCCTTGGGGGCGGCGCCGTGGGTTTTGCCGAAAGTATGACCGCCGGCGATTAGCGCAACAGTCTCCTCGTCATTCACTATCATCACGGAGTTAGTGATTAGGCTCTAAGGAGTGGGGAACGATAGTTATGAACGACGCTAATAAGATGACGTCATTGACAGGTTGCTGGTGATCGCGACAATTCCTCCAAGGGCTCGATGAGACCGCAGAAGAGGGATTGTGGAGTCTCGCGGGGGAATTGGAGATTGAGAAAATACGCGTATTGCGCGGCTGAAGGAAAGAAGGCGGTAACTCACTTGCCATGCGACCGAATGTGTCGCGGATATCGTGGGCCGCTGCAACGGGATCGGGGACACCATCAGGTCCTTCAGGGTTGACGTAGATTAGACCCATGTGAGCAGCAGCCAATGGCGTCTCTAATTCACCACTGTGGACTGCACCCTCGGGGTTTTCGTCTGAGGAAATAACACCATGCCCGGCAAGACCAGCACGGCCTTTGGCATAACGGATATCGTTACCCAGCCAGGTGGTCTCGCCACCCCAGTAGGGAGTTTCATCTGCCTCCCACTGGTCCTTGCGGCCACCAGCGAAGCCGAAAGTCTTAAAACCCATCGACTCGAGGGCGACGTTACCCGTGAGCAGAAGCAAATCTGCCCACGAGATCTTGTTGCCGTACTTTTGCTTGATGGGCCACAGCAGACGGCGGGCCTTATCAAGACTTACATTATCCGGCCAGCTGTTTAGTGGCGCGAAACGCTGCTGGCCACCGCCACCACCACCACGGCCATCAAATACACGGTAAGTACCGGCACCGTGCCAGGCCATGCGAATGAAAAGACCACCATAGTGACCGAAATCAGCTGGCCACCATTCCTGGGAATCGGTCATGAGGTCATTTAAATCCTTCTTGAGCGCAGCATAATCGAGCGAGTTGAAGGCCGCGGCATAATCGAATTCCTTGTCTAAAGGGTTGTTGGCGGGGTTATTTTGGCGGAGAACATTCAGGCGCAGCTGCTCGGGCCACCAATCTCGGTTCCGGGTGCCGCCACCGGCTATATTGGCCTTGACGGGGCACTGAGACTCTGCCATTGTGCTCAGGTACTTTGTTACTACTCGACGCGGGGTAGGGATTGGCTTGTTGGGCTTGAGTGCAAATAATAATGCGCGGGACGCCAGTATGAAAGTCGCGAGATTTTACTATATGAGTGAGCAGGGAAGAAAAAGGAGGAGGGGACAATATAGACCTCGTTTGATCACACCAATCCCGAGTGCCCGAATAGAGACGAGTGGAAAGATGACCAATGTGTGAGGGAAGAATAGGTAAGAGGAAGAGGAGTAAGTAAAGAGGAGGAGGAGGAGAGAGATGGGCTGCGACAGGAAGTTATCAGCGGCGGCGGGCAACCCCGCACTTTATAAGCAACAAGGAGCAGTAAACGCCATCGGACCATTGTGTGACGTTGGTAGGTAAATACATAAAAATCCTCACCTCGCCAGATACATACGCATACATACATCCATCATACATCCATCCATCCATCCATCCATCCATACAGTACCTATGCTGTATACACCCTGTCCTGTCCAGTCGGGTGGCTGATGCTTGGAGTTAGGTCTCATGTAGGTACGATATGCTAATAACAGACTAATAGGTATAGTATAGCCCGGTAGAGGTTACGTTTGGCGCTCGGCAGTAGTACCTATCTAATACATGTCTCTTCCATACCTTACATACCTACATTAGTACAACCAGTTGCCCGGCCATACCTACCTAACCTCACCTTAACCAGAACCATGAGCCATGAACCATGTGTAAGTGGTAAGTGGGGCAATGGGACCGGCGGCTGTGGGCTGTGGGCTGTGGGGTCTCATTAATTCACTGGATAGGATCCCTGGAAAAGGTGGCTATCTACCCGGGACGGCCTACCTACGAGACCTACAGCATATATACATACTATATAGTACATACAGTACAATACCTACTTACATACAATAATATACTTAACCCTCTACATCGTCGACTTGCACTTCAATTCCCTCCCTCCCTCCGATCTTACCTACTTCCTAACGCATGAAGTATGTAGATATGTAGAATCCCAGATAGATAAGTAAGCACCGTCGCCCCCAAACGCTCAACTAGGTAGGCCAGCCGGAGGAGCAAACTGCAGAAGCGGCCCCATCCCGCGTACGTAAGGTGGTTAGATAGGTCGAATGAGTCGTCGTTGGGTGGGTGTACCGTAGTACATAGCAGCGTTGGCCGGAACTGGAACTGCCCAGTCAGAAGCCAGAAGTAGGGTAGGTATGGGTAGGTATGGTCTTTTCTTTCTGATCTGAGACGGAGGGTTCCGGGGGTCGTTCGGCAACTGTGGGTACTCTTGTTGCCACGTTTGGCTTGGTTTGGGTTTGGAGGCGCCAACGCTCCAAATGTCTGGGCAGCAAAGAAGTCTGGGGAAGTTGTTTGTGTGTCTGAAAGACAAGCTCCCCTACCTACATAGCTAGTAAGTTAGGTACCCTAGCTCGCTTTTTGTACTTCCTGCATTACCCCTCTTCTGTTCTTCTTCTTCTTCTGCTACTTGCTTCCCTGCTTGCTTCACTACACACAAAGAAAATACTAGGAGGTCAGCCACCCGACTAACTGATCAATGATTTGTATACTTACTTACGCTTACATACATAACATACATACGTACTTAGATATGGACATACATGCGAGAGCCTGCGCGGAGTAAGGCAAGGACTAGGCATGCTTGATTGATCATCTTTCCGGCGTGTCACACCACTCCTTTTACTAATAGACTGATCCTTTTTGTAAGGGACATACATAACATGCATGTATCTCTCCGTCCGCATACGTAGTTTAGTTTTTTAGTTTTAGCTCGAATTGTGATCTTTTTAGTACCGCTGCCAATTTCCAACCGGTTCACTAGTGCGATACTATTATATAACTCCCTTTGTTAGTTCGGCTTAGCTAGTTAGCTCGCCTCCGACTATGCCGATGCCCGCCGCCGCTTTGATCGTCGAACCATCGTGATGGGGTTACCTACCCAGGTTGGGGCTTGGCATGTATGTATGTATGCAGTATGCAGTAAGTCATGTATGTAATGGGTCTCCTACGATTCGTCGCAGCCGACCCAGGCTACCCAGGTTCTCGCTCGTTGGAAATTCCGACGCGGGGTTAGCGGGAACGCCAAGACTACTTACTTTTTTACTACCTAGTAGTAGAGAGGACAACAGGAGAATACTGTAGCGAACACAAGGACTGCGTAGCGTCGTTCGCCCCGGTGAAACCCGCCTTCGTCCGCATCGCGCCCGCAACCCCGCACCGTCCGCACCATCCGCACCGTATACGCGTAGCCCTCTCGCTCACATCGAAATCCCATTCACCATCATGGATCATGGACCCTTTCCCGACTGACCACTTGTTGTTCCAGATCGTTCCGATACCGAGGAATGCTAACGCCATCGGGCGAAGCGAGCGCCGCACCCCTAAACCCAGACAACAAGCACAGAACGACAATCGGACCAGTTATTCGCTTACCTGCAGAAATACGAAATGAAGCACACCGGTATTACGTCAATTATCTAAGCACATGGCTTGATTCGATCGATATTACCTAGCCTGTCTGATGTTGCTCGGGCATGGAGTATCTAACAACTAACTAGCTTTTCCCATTAGTCTATCTATGTTGGTTGATATCTTGATACTTCTTAGTCCACCTTAGTTAGATAGCACCGGGACTTGGGTTATTGCTAATAGAATCAATCAATCGACTCCGTACTCGGAATAATTTCGGTGCACTCTCGGGACGAGGGGACAACGATGTCCGTTATGTTATAGTGACGGAATTGATACTATCATGCAATGCCATAGATCCATTCCCCTTGGGTGTTGTTTTAGGAGCAGGAGATTGTGAGGGATATGGAGGGGTTAACTGCCAAGCAGGGGTAGCTTGGTGCAAAGAGCAGGATTGAGCTAGATAATTACCTAGTTGCTTGTTATCTATTGAAGTGTGAGCTATTAAGATCTAATTTTTACATATATATCTCTCCTTAGTTATTTAGGTATTTATGTACTGTGATAGAAAAAAAGATATTTGTCCTTGCTTAATCCTAGTTGGGGAATTTGCTATGATGCAATTGGATAATCGAAAAACGAATTGCCAAAAATTATAATTTGATGCAAAATAATAACTAGTGACCTCGCTGGGGGTCGAACCCAGAATCTCCTGATTAGCCTCGGAACTCATTACTGAGTTCTTGGTCGTAGTCAGACGCCTTGCCATTGGGCCACGAGGCCGATGTTCGGATGAAGGTAGGTCTCAATTGCCCAATTATGAGTATCTGATTGCGCGCGTGCCAAGAACGAATGTCGCAAGATTTAACGTCGCGTCGATGTATCTTAATATTTGTCCGAAAAAAAGACGCCGTTAATCCAGCGACAGAATATATGAGGAACTTCGCGACAGTATAAAACATGGGTAAAATTGCCAGTATAACTAAGAAGGCATGCTTGATTTTCGGAGCGGGGATACATTGCTGAGACTACCTAAGTGGTAATGACCATCTACCTAAAGCCTGTTTGCGACTAGGCGGCAAATACGACGAAGCTATGTAGTAGAACGCATCGACTACTGACGGTTCTAAAACTTGATAGATAGCTAGCTAGCTTTGGTTCCAGATATTAGACTAGGTAAGGAGACGGTACATCAACAGTCTCCCCCTTTTCATTTTTTTCATCCACAATCTTGCTCCAGCAAACAGAAAAGGTCGGCCGGCAGATAATAGAAAGAACCAGATCCTTTGACATAGGCTCGTCAGGTTCATAGACGCCATGCGAGTGAGCCATATACCCGCCAACGTCGTGAAAACAGTACCTGCATAATGCCTCTACATGAAATGGAGATAGCGGTTTCTTATCCTGGCGTACAACAATGGTGCTTCCCACAATATTCATCCAGTCTGTGGAGACCCAACCCCAACCTAAGATTCCCCGAGAAAGGTCGAATTCGGCTTTGGGATCGCAACATAGATGTAAATACGTGGCGTATTGGTTGTTGTACATGGTTCGATCATTCGCCCAATTGGGGTGAGGGTGGCAGCGCCTGGTGAAAATCGGGAGTCCGATGCGGTCCGCAATATCTGAGGTATCATGTTCCTCGAAGATATTATGCGTTGTAGATAGCTCGATCTCCTCAAAGGGAGGCTTGTTGAACATCTTCTGATCGCCGGCACAGTTGATTTTGACGCCCTTGACTTTCAACTCGCCTGGGAATAGGAATGGCACGGATGGTACACGATCGGAGTTATATGAGGCGAGGTGGTCAATAACGTGTCGGAAATCGTTCATGTCAATGTCTCTACATTTCTGGGGATCGGGGAGTGGCCCAGCCTTCCCGTACGCAATGATGATCCCACGCCAATCGTGACGGTATCCTGGTATCTGGCTGAGAACTTCTCTTATGCTCTTGTTGGGCGCGGATCCGTCTACGAGAAAGGCGTCGCGGTAGGAAATATAGACTGGATTAGAAGGCTGCCTTGCAAGAACGTGGTTGTGCTGAATATGGTACTGCTGCCCATATTCGTCATGGAAAAACGACTTGGTGTTGGGATATTGCCATTTGGTGTCGTAGAATTCTTCAGAGTCCGACCACTCGCACTGAAGCCAGATTATCTCGGGGCGCGCCTTGTCCACAGGGAAGAGAATGGCCCGCACGTGCTCTTCCGTAGGTCGTGTCGTCATATCGAAACCGGCAAAGCGAGAGCAGAGAAGTTTGTGAGTCGGATAGTCCCCACGCTGACATGTCTTAGAGCAGTAGAAGGCGCCGTTGCACCGAGCACAACGGGAGGCGTTGGGTTTATTGCAGATGATGCATGAGTTGGTTACTTCAGGATCCGCCATGATGTACTTGCAGGTCGAGTGATCTAGGGGAATGCGTAAGATGTAGAAAGTAATGATCTGTTGGGAAGCTGGATGCTAGTGTGGAGGCTGGCTCAGTAGATTTATGTACTGAGGAGAGATAATGCCTGGTTGGATTAGGCTGCTAATTCGTAGGTACGAGAACGGAATGGGAATGAATGAATGTTGCCTAGTCGATATTGATTTCTAGACCTGTGAGATTAGGATACTTCTCGAATCGTCTATGGTGACTGAGTTTAGACTGAATGAATAAACGAATCTTTCTGTTTATTCCTTTCTCTGCGTCGCTGGAGCCTAGCCGTATAATATCAACTCCACTCCTAGACTATACGCGCACATTCGTTCTTTCTAGATTAATCGAACGAAAGTAGTGAATTACTGAAAGTACCTGGGTACATTGTATTCTTGATAATAGCGCAAATGTAGAATGCTCTTAGGATGGTAACACTACCTGCCACTCTATGCCTGTTATAGGATTGTTCGAGGGTTGCCGAAGGTCAACTATGTATATCCTGCGTAACGCCTCGTAGCCCTGCCAAATATAGTATTTAGAACCTACGCGCGTGCCTTCTGATTTTGCTAGGTGGTTGTCGATTCTAACCGTTAGGCTTCTCGGTATTGTTAACTACCGGTTGTTCCTGTTAAAAAAAGAAATGCAAGCTACGGTGTTTTATATAAAGAGGCCTTTTATAACCTTTTGCGCCGAACCGAGGATGGCTTGTCACTACATGCCGGCTAAAAAGGAAATTGGTCCATCGAGAGCGAACATTAACAAGATGTCTAAACGGACAGCGTCAGAAACTCAACGTCTAAGTACCTAGTATCTACCACTCCCATCGTCTCGGTATCTATCTATGTAAGTAGGTACGTACGTGGCACGGCGTAGGGCTGAGGCTACGCGCTTGCCTATTACGTACGATCGCGACTGTTTTGGGAAATCGCAAGCATCACATATGGCTATTGGGTAGTGAGCTAGAGCCAGGTTTGGAGGGATAGCTAAATGTAGATTTTCTAGGTCTGGACCAGTCTAGACTTGCTGGACAGCCTGTAGTACTTCGGCCTAAGTTAGTGCCGGAGGTGTAGGGCAGGGATTAGTTCAGCTTTGGAAGTCACGACCGACCCTGGGCTAAGGCAACTAGAGGTGGGTAGTATTTGGATATTAGGTCGTTTAAGCTATGACGAGATGATATAAATTGGCTCGAGACGACTGGAGAGCTCTTGTAGAAGATACTCACCCTAGTATACAGTCCTCCAAGAATATCTTGCACAAGTATCATAACCATGGCTGAACAAGTGACTACTAACGGAAACGCAAGCTCACTTGCAAACCTATCCTCAACCCCGGACGCGGGCATCACCAGATATATCCTCCTCAAGGGCGAAAGTCCAATCAATACCGAACAGAAGAGGCAGCTTGCCTCACTGGGAGTGACCATCTTTGAATACCTCGGCCAAGATTCTTACCTATGTCGATATGACCCGGAAGACCTCCAGCCTATTCGCGATCTTTCATTCGTGGAATACGCGAACATCTATCACACTTACGTCAAACCCTCTGGGTCCTTTACGGAGGCCCTCCAAGCTAGCCAACGGTCTTCTAGCTACCACATAGAAATCGCGCTACACAAGGGCGAACGCGACGTTGATAAGATCTTGGGTAGACTTGGTGGACTCGGTATATTACGAGATGACGCCTCTGTGAATGAGGATAAAGTTCGGCCTAGGACTTCTGATGAGGAACTTCGTCGGATCGCGGGGATCGACGAAGCCAGGTCTATCGAACCTGTCGTTGAGATGACACTCTGAAATAAAATTGCAAGAATTAACTGAGAAATTTTAAACGGAGATGTAACTGTGAGAGGGGTTACTGTAGACTGAAGATAGGTAGCATTTGGGTCCTTGCAGGGTAATAATTAGGCAGAACTATAGGGATTAAGGCTCGTTATTATTGATTCCTGAGTTCTCTTAATTATTTGGAGAGAGCTTAACTATATGTAATATAGAAACAATTAATACAATAGCTCCTAAGAGTTTAGGAGGGACTCCTACGGCGGGGGGCAAGACAGGCGAAACTAACGACATATATGACCACAGGGCTCATGTCACCGGTGTAGTTTCGGGCGACAGCTACGCAGATACAATGGGGGAGCTGGTTGTAGAACGCAGCCTGTATGGCATAGTTGTGCAAGGGTATCTCACTAGCCTTCCTGTTGAGAAAAGCAGGGCCCGGTCCGTTCCACCATACTAAGAGTTGTGATCGAAAAAAGGGGCATGTTGAAGGAGAGCCTGTTAACAGCACCGCGGGGGTCGTATATTGCCTAGGTCTCCCAGCAGTGCCGGGTCATATAGTGATTGGGTTTACTTCCGACTAGCGCTATATGGTTTTCGCTGTGGCTTATCTGTATTTGTCAAGAAACAGAGGGAGACACTGGGATTAATCGAGATAAGATGAGAGTTGATTCCATGGCGGTATATCGATATCTTCGGATCAGGATGTAAACCATACTTTATAAGAGTGCTGGTGGTGCCTAGCTACCAAGTATGTACCCAACTCAACTCGGCCATTTTCCCGCCTAATTCGGTGCTGCTTGGCTGCTACTATGCACATCTGGTAGGGTCGGCTAGGACACTAGGCTTAAATGGGAATTGGAAATTGCTTATGAGAGAATATAGTAGGTAGGTAAACAACTTTTGTACATATCTGTCTCTTGAAGAATTATTTAAATAGCTCTAAATATGTGTATGTTGCTAATGCTACCGTGCTTTTGAACAAGTTGCGTTTTACTTTGGTCTCAAGTTATTTTGTTCTTATCACCATTTTTACGCTGCACTACGATCGAGGTGTGAGTTCGTTGAAGCGATGCAATTTCTAAGCTATCAACAAAAGCCTTGACCCCCTTTTCTTAGCCCCCTTTTCTTAACCCCCTTTTCAAACGCACGCACCAATACTTACTCAAAGCCATGCCCTTTTAACCCTCACGCCTCCCAGCCTCAACGGCGCCATCCGCGCCCGCATCCTACACCTCCCAGACCGGTCCTTCACAGCCGAAGCATCGCTTGACCTTCGCAAGGGGGCGCGATTCTTCGAGTAGAAGCCCCCGCTGCACTTCCACGTGCAGGAGGGGTATATCGAATGCACATGGGGCAAGCTAGAGCTAGAGCTAGACGGGAGAGAGCACGTGCTGACATCCGGCCGTACGCAGACCACCTGTTGCATCCCTTGCCGCTCTCGCGCCGTACACGTTCGACGCAGGCGGTATGTACGTCTCGTTCTCCTCGTGAGTGCTGTTCAGACAGTCGGTCCATCTCCATCGCCCTGGGCGTCGTGGTGGGCAGGCAGATAGGTAGGTAGTAGGCTGTCGGGGTATCAGTCTTTCTAC